AAGGAAGTTGATCGGGTCGGCTGCATCGATCTATCAAAATTAGAAGGAATCAGTGTTTCTGGAGGTGAAGAAGCTATTGTGAGTCAAATAAAGGTAAGTAAACTGCTGTGATTCGCTCTTTTTAGTGTTGTGAATTTTCGCAAGTTATGTGTCAGTTATTCGGTTTCTGATGTGAAAACGTCCAAACATTTTGTTCAGAATGAAATTGTGGCTAACGTGAAAAAGGAAGAGGAATTGCCGGAAACTGAAGCTGCCAAGAAATTGGTAGGCAAAGTCATTAGCGGAGAAGACAAAAAAGAAGAGAATGGCTTTGATCAAGGGATATCTAGTCAGGTATGACTAGAAATATTTAAGCGTATTAAGTTCTAGTAGAAATCTGTGCATATATTGTACGCATAGTTTTTTATTGATTTTATTTTACAAATAAGATTTTATATTCTATTGGGAAATATTAGATTATGGCAAAAGCAGCGTCGGCGGTTGGTTCTATTCTGCCAGATGGCTTCGATATCCGGTTTAATCCTGACTGCTACTGTCCAACTGTCAAACATGTTGAGACTGAAGACCTGCAGAAACAAAGGCATTTTGTCGCTGAAGCTGCAGAATTTCTATTAGTTCAAGTGAGTTGGTTTTTGTGTAGGCGTAGTCAAGTGTCGTATTGTTCCCTAGGTTCATGTCTTTTGTTAGACAAGAATATTTTTATCCTGACGTGAAGTCTGCTTTGCTTCGCGTCATTGTTAGGACCATGCTCCATTTTGAGTTGGCACCTCAAAAATTTCGAGTTTTATACGTTTTGGGGATTCATTTTTATTTTGTCTTATTTACAGCAACTGCCTAATTTTGTTCGCGAATGTTTACATCATGCTCTCTTGCCAATAGATGGTAGCTCTTTGAGTGAGGCATTACATTCTCGTGGAATAAATATTCGATATCTTGGCAAGCTCACAAAGTGCATTATGAACGTTGAACAGCTATCGTATTTGAAGGTTATTTTGAGCATTAAACCATAATTTTTTGAACTTTTGTTTCATTTGTTACTTATTTTAGACTGTTTGTATGAGCGAGCTGTTATGCCGAAGCGCAAAGCATATATTCCGCGGATACCTGCAACCGGTTTCAGCAGCGTATTTGGCGGCATCAATTTCTCACTTTCTAAACTGTCTTCTTGGAAATACAGGACCATCTGCCCTAGCAAATTCTGAAGAAGTCACTTTTCTAACTGTAAAATTGAAGTTTTTGTCCCTTCAGCACTTTTAATAAGTACAATTTCCAAAAATTATTTCTTTGTTTTGCAGATAATATTTGAGCTTTTACTTTTAAAGAATAATTGCTTTTTAAAGAGAATCTCTTCTGGTGCATAGAGAAATTAGCTTTTTGGATTTTTTTTTTTTTTTTCGAAGTTATATGCTTTCACCGAGGTCTTCATTACAGCCGGCTGTTAATGGTGTTAAAAAAACACGTTCAACGAAAAAGAAGAAGCAGCTGAGTGGCAGCGGGCGTGAATGTGTCTTTTGGGCACAATTGACGTCTAAAATATTGTGGTCTCGCTTGCTTTCAGACATGGAGTCTCACTACACGTTTTCGAGTGAAGCTGAAAATCTAGACACTTTCATAGCAGAAGGTGGTATTCAGAAGACTTCTATTCTTCGTAGGTTCTGTCAGATCGTAGGTATCCAGGTGCGCCCTCTTTTTTTTATTCGGGTATCTCTTCTGTGACCTCTAACTGATTCATTTAAGATTCTGCTTCGCGATTACGGCTTGGAACTCAATAAGAAATCTCTTCCTTTTGTTGAGGATGATATCCAGAACCTGTTTCCAGTAGTTAAGCATGTGGACCCAAAAGCGATTGATGCACACAGTTTATTTATTTCCGCACAGACAAAAGTACAGCAAGGTTCGCTCAATCTTACTCTCGATTAATCCTTGACAGTTAAACATAGTGACCATCAGTTTTATTTTAGGAGCCTTAAGAGCTGGGTTCGAGCTAGCGGTGGAAGCACTAAACTTGATGAACAATGTTTATGGCGCAATGCATCCAGATATGGCGCAGTGTATGCGTTTACTTGCCCGCTTGTCTTATATTCTTGGAGATCCAGCTGAGGCTCTGTCTCAACAGCATAAGGCAACTTTAATGAGTGAACGTTGCAATGGCCTTGATAATGCTGGTACAATTGTTGAATACGTAAGGCTTGCCATTATTCGTTTAGTATGTGTATTTCAAACTGTTCCTAGTTTGAATTAGTAATTTACTTTGTTTTCAGCTCAATCTTGCTCACTTCTCCTTCGCTAACTTACACATTGTAGCTTCGCTAAAATTACTTTATCGTTCACGCTATCTCCTTCTGCTCATTCATGGTAATTATTTCCTCATTTAATTGCGAAGGAAGTTAGAAAGAGGGGAGTTATTCGGTTGATAAATTTTAAAGGTCAGCGCGCATGGCTGTGCATGGTTTTTATTTGATAAGCTGTTTTTTTTGTAGGTGAAAACCATCCTCTCATGGCTCAAATTGACGGGAATATTGGTGTAATACTTTATGCGGTACAGGAGTATGATGAGGCTCTGAAGTTTCTGCAGAGCGCTTTGAAACTTCACCAGACGTACATGGAACCACGAGCTCTAAAAACTGCCATGATTTACCACCTCATGGCTCGTACTTATTCGTGTCGGGGTGATTTCCGCACAGCATTGCAAATGGAAAAAGTAACGTCTTATTTCCGTTTTTTATTTCCTTCTCCTTAGCACTGAACGTTGCCAGCGACTTCTTTAGTGGCGTTTTCGTCTTATTTCTTGATCCGTTTTCCAACTAAGGCGTTTGCAGGAGACGTTCACAATTTATTCCAAAACGTTTGGAGAAAACCATGAGAAAACTAAGGAAAGTGGTGAATGTTTAAAGCACCTTACGCAGCAGGCAGTAACATTCCAGAAGCGTCTGAATGAAGCAAATCGACAGGGCGCTTCCAACATTACCCAGCTTCTTCCTATCGAGGTTTGTAATTAAACTTTTTTTGTGATGCACCGAATTCTTAATTTTTTTACAGGACATTATGCTTTTATAATCCCCAAATTATTACGGAACGATGTGAAAAGCTAAAACTAGCAGTTTAGATCCATCGCCCTTCTTTGCAAAGCGTTTTGGAAGTTTTGAATATCCTCAATGGAATCATAATTATACAACTGAAGAATACAGGAGCGACGGAAATTGAAGAACCGACTTCATCTCCAGTGGCTGAAAGAGCAGAAGAAGATGCTACTTTAACTACACCACCAATGGAAGAAGAGGCTTTAGATTAGTCTTTTGGAAATTTAAGCAGCTAGCTTTTAATGGTTGTTATCTTCTGTTTTAGTGTTCGATTTTATTTTGTACTTGAACAGAGTAGATCTTATTAGTTCTTTCCTTTAGTTGTTTTTTTGTTTATTTATTCTTTGGGGTACTAGGTAGTTGGTCCAGCAGTTCTCTTTCATTTGAATTTTGGAGAGCTTTGGTTTTGAAAGTGAGGAAAACCGGATATTTGCTCAACGTTATCCTCCTAGTTTTCTATAGTTTAATTTTAATGAATACCTGCCTTCATAATTCGAGGTTTCCTGGAGGTGGAGTTGTGCTCATTTGTTGTTGATTGTCGAATGGGTGATCGTTATTTAGTTAATAGTTGTTTAGCGACGAAGTCATAATCTAATTTGTTTCATTAATTGTTGGTGTTTCCAAAAGTAGAGTTGCTAGTGTCCCTGTAGGTAGTCTAATTATGTCTAGAAAAATTTTTGCTAGAGTTCTATTAGGTCAGAGTTTTCAATTAATTTTGTTATTTGTTTGTTATTTTATCATCACATTTATGTAATTTTTTATTTTTTCCTATGTGGAAGACGTTTAATTTTGAGATGCTCTACTGTAGTCAGTAGAATATTAGCCTGCAGATGTGCGGGATTTTTAGTTTTTCAGCGAGGTAAGCGGGTGCTGCATAATGCATGTAGAACAGGTGTTGCTTCGTATTATCTGACCCTCTTTTCACTCACTGTTTTGTTTTCCCCTGGATTTCTTAACTCGTTTTTTTGAAAATTTTACCTACTAATCGTTACGTCAACAATGCTTGCATTTATTTATGCACGTTTCTCATATCTTTATTTCGTTTCTGCTCTAACTTATCACTTATCCTTGTTTAGAAGCGATTTCCCCTGGTTAGGTATGAAACGGTTAATTTGCAGTCACACTTAAATACGTCATTTGAAATATCATCTTTGGCTGCTCCTTCGCAGCAGAACATCTGGATAATTCGTTAGTTGGAAGCGCATGTAACTTTTTAATGAAGGCCATGAAAAATAGTACTACCTTTGCATATTTGTTGGAAAGCTTGCTTTACGGTCAAAATGTAGTAGTAGTGACATGACTTTTCCTTTTGAATTTTTGTTTCATTTTTCTCGTTCAGTTTTCCTTCCTTTGAGAAAGGGGTAGAGGTCGAATTAGAGGGGCTCAAGGTTTGAAGGTTCTGGAGGGAAGCACGAAAGTATAAGATTAATGCACACACTTGCTGCCGAAAGCTCTTGCTTGTTTTTTCTTTCCCTTCTGTGTGGAGTGGACCCGTCGGGTTTGTCGCTATATAGCGAGAGGTTTGGGGTTGCCGATTTCATTCTGTCGGCATGGTTGAAGAAAATACAGCTCCTTGTCATGTAGATGGATATTCGCTGTATCGCTTTCAAATCGTTTAAATATTATTTTGTCTCAGAAGTGTTCATTTTGTTGTATATCTCAACGCCGTTGTGTTTCTTCTCAAAAAATTAAAAATAAATTTTGATGGAATGGTAATGCTGTGCTACATCCAATTGTGGGGGAAAAAAGTTGCCTCGGCTCTTCTGCGTGTTTGCTAATCCGTCTGACCTAAGATCGTGGTTTGTTTAGAAGCAGTATAGGGTGATCGATCGGCTGAGTGGCAGGACTGGAACAGCTTTTTGGGACAATAGCGGTAGCGGTCGGCGTGTTGCCGCGTTTGATTGTGAACTCTGCAAATATCTGGCTCGATATCCAACCTCTTTCCTAATTACTGGCCTTTAGAAGCAGCGAATGAAAATCCTGTGGGCCTTCACTCATCATTTGACGTTTTCCATTTTAAAGCATAATTTTTCTAAATTTTGCTCCTTTAGAGTTCCTGCAGAGTGGCTGGCAAAATAGCACGGCAAGTGGTCAAGGCCACTTTTTGCAAATTCTTGGTGAAGTACTTCAGTGAGTCTGGCATATATTCTAGACTCCCCCAGTCACTAGTGCCGGTGAATAAAGTTTTACAGAGAAACGTAATAGCATTTTGGCTTGAAGCTTCACAATAAAGGGAAGAAAGTCAGTGTGGAAAATTGAGCTCAGAAACCAGTGTATTCTAGAACGCGACCTCAAAGCAGTTTGGCAATTGCGGGTGTGCCTAGTGGATCCTGGTGGGAACTTTACTGTGATGAAAATTTCACGTGTGTCATAGTTAAAGCGGAAGTCATTTAATGCGACAAATTTAACGGAAACTCAACTTCACAAGCTAATTTTTACCAAAATATTCACACAAAGTCAAATAGTAACGAAAGCGGGTAAAAGTCTGGGATTTGAAGTCGTGGAGACGTTTGGCAGAAAACTTGTATTATTTGAGTCGGTATCGGGCCGTTACAAAGTTGACGCAGACAATTTTTCGGTCACGTTCATAGACGATTTGAGATGGAACTGCCCTTCTACAAATCCAAGTAGGAAAGTCAGATTTAAAATCAAAAGTTGCGAGGTCGAGTTCTCGTGGTAGTAAAAGAATTGGCATTTATGTCGATCGCATAGCTTTCCAAAATACTTTGCTTTGTTGTGGCAGAGAACCATAGAAGTAGTGGGCAGCGAAAAATAACTTGAAAGTGTTTTGACCGACTTTTGGTGAGCTAGATAGCAGATTCAAAAGTTGTTTAGCAAAATCAAGTGCTTATAAGTAGCGAACATAAATTTTAGTACGCAATTATGGGGTTTAAAGAGGAAATGAAGGAAATGGTAGGTGAAAATTGGTATTTTGAAAGTGCTCATTTTCGTAAACTTCAGATTTGCATGAACTAGAGGACAATTCTAACTAAGATGTTATTTCTTTCTTTTATAATGAAAAACATCTTTTTCCTGTTTTACACTGCAATTTACTAATCGCCGATTTCTAGCGCAGTGGTTATAAAACTCTAACCAGTTTCGGCCAGGACTATAGTAGCCACAAATGATCAGAAGTTCACCAGTAAGTTCACCGAAAGCGCTCGTTTTACTGGAGGAATAAGCAAAAGATGTATAGAATTTCAAGGTATCAAATCCGACAGAACCTCGCATAACGGCCAGTTCTTTTCAGCCCTACTGGTACGAGCGTAATCCGTTTTCATTTGACTGTTAAAATTGCTAAGTCGTTCCAGCAGTTTGTCAAATATTGACAGCTTGTCAACCGCTTAGAAGCTATACGTGAAAAAAACATCTATTTGATCAACCTCGTTTTAAATACGTTGTACGGAAAGGGTTCTTGAGCCCAAAAGCAGCCGTCTAACAGAAGCTCCTATACGTCGAGCGAACACTGTTCCCATCCATTATGTACTTAAATGTTACTAAATTAACCAACAAAAATAAAGCCAATTGTTGCGGAACTGAGAGGAAAGCAACGGAAGATAAAAACAGAAGTACTTATTAAAGCTTTCACTTTCCAAATGAAAGAAACTGTCAAAGCGTCTGAGTCGCCAACGAATTGCAGTATGAGCATAAAAATCTTCTAAAGCTTAAAGAACAGCTTTTCAGCAAAAATTCTGTCCTCAACTGGAAGTCACAGTCTTGATTTTTGGGCTGAGGTTGTCGGACTTGAAAACAGCCCTGTTTTTTGAAAACCCTCACGTAAGACCTTCTCCTTCAAATCAGAAGAATAAAATGGAATGCAGCTGTGCTGAATAAATGCAAAATCTTAAATGTTCACGACAAAGCTACACCGATCAGAGGAGACTTGAACTACCATCAACTTTAGACCACAGGTCACACGTCATTATCACGTGCTGCAATTGTCTTGGAACGTCGTATACGTTTGCGCCCCCTTAGTCACTGGACTCTTCAAAAGGCATGTTCACCCGCTGCCTGATTAATATTAAAAATCGGTAATTGAATGTTATTTATCATTGTT